TTCAAGGACCATCGTCCCTCTACATTTCCATAGAAGATTAACAGCCTGGCACAATCTACATTTTCCATCGTGAGATCTCGACCGGACTCTCATCGAGAATCTTCTCGAACGAACGTATTATTGTGAGGATTGCTGCTCAAGTCCGAAGAAAAAGAGTGTGCATGGCGTGTGATCAGAAAGAGAAGCGGAAGAGAGAGAGACAGAAGGAGAAGAAAGAAGGAAAGAGTAGGAGGAGAACAAACGTCGTTGGGCCGCGGTGTCAGTGGAGTTCAATCTTAATATAGTATGACCTCCACTGCCATTCGAGACAGTGTCGGGCGCGACGGCAGTTGCAACTGCGAGCTAGCAAGTTGTGAGCGAGAGAAAGGAAATCGAGGACTGACTGCGAGAGAGAGGGAGAGAGAGAGAAAGATACGATGACGAAGCGAGAGTGATTAAAGAAGAAGAAGGGAGAAGGACGCGAAAAGAAGCGGGGTAGAGAAGAGATGGAAGAGAACGTGCTGGTGGAGAACGCGTGCGTGCGTTGCACCTTATTCCCCAGTCCGATGAGTGAGCCTCGCCTCGGTTATTTCAGAGACATTAGTTTCGAGAGAGAAAGAGGAGAGAAGGAGAGAACATACGGAGAGAATGCGCCTAGTGAGAGAGACGATGCATGCGTGCGTGCGTGCGTGTGTATGCTTAGTCGTCGAGAGTGTCATCGATCTATTTCGAGAGGAGGCTGGAATTTCTGGCCTTCGTGAGGGGTCAGTAGAAGAGAGAAAGAGAGAAGAGTGGAGAATGGGGGAGGGCGAGAGAGAAAGGGAGAGAGAAAGAGGAAATCTCTTTCTAGGGGGAGAGAAAGGAGAAGAGAGGAAAGAGGAGAAAGAGACGACACGACGATGGACGGACGGACGGACGGATGGACGGATGGATGGATGGATGGATGAACGAACGGGTCGTTACCACACCTGCGCGCGCACTCGGCAGTCTCGGCACTCGCCGATCTGGACTGCCCGATGGTCAACGCACGAATGACCGCGTGCTCCTACGTCTTCCTCGCCCGAACTATCCAAAGAAGGAGAAAGAGAAAGAGAGAAAGAGGGAAAATCACAGTTTCTCGCGTACTCCTCTGTTATGCGAGTGGACATTTCATTCACGCTTAATGCCGCTTCAACTTGGATAGTTTTTGGATAACGAGATAAAAATTGTTAATTATCGATTCCTCACTTCATACACAATAGCGATTCGTGCATTATAAAATATGCCCTGCAGTATGTCGAGGGATAAAGAGAAATCAATATGATGATGATCTCAAATAATATATTATACATGTAAGCTTTTTGGTATTGTTTTCATAAAGGATATGGTTTCGAAGTTTTGGAAGTTTCCCAGGTGCATAAAAAATGTAGTAGAACGAAGAATGGGGGGATGATTGATCGTTTCCAATGCGATAAGAGTCTACTTTGCGAGGGAGTATTTGTACAGAAGCGGCAGCGAGTTATCGGCGAGTTATTGGAGTTTTCTCGACTGTATAGCTCGCGCGCGTGTCGAGTGGGGTTACGTTAGAAGGGGGCAATGGTGGAAGAGAAAAGGGATGGATGGCACGCGGGAGGAAGAGGCGGCAGATCTAACGATATGGTGGGGAGAGCGGCGGTGGTGCTCGGCCGTTGCATTGTGGGGGTGTTGGCCTTCAACTTGACGGCGCAGTTTCACTGACCTGCCTGAGAAACCCGCCAGCAGCACCGTGTGTGTGTCGGGGACCTGCGGACGCATCCACGACGCCAAAGGGTACCGCTACTTAAGAGTCCATCGGGCCCTAAACAAACGCTGCTGTCGCCGGCGAACGAGCGTGGAAGCCACGCATTCGATATGTTAACTTTGTAGCTTCTCGATGTGTGGTTTGACGGCTCGCATACGAAAAACCAGTGTTTCTAGAAAATTTCATGTTTGTACGAATTTCCCGAGAGAGATCGAATACGGAGGTCGATTCTTGACAGCCATCTAGTTTTCTGAGAGAATATCGTTCTCTTGTAAAAGAAAAAAAAAAGAAATAAGTAAATTTTTTTAATAAAATTGAGAATGCACAATAGCATCTCTATTTTATTATATTTTACATTATATAATTTTTTATATAATAATTTGAAGGCGTAATATTTTACATCTCAATGATAGAGTTTGCGTAAAAAGTTTCGTTTTTCCGTTCTAACTTTTCGAGAATACTTGGTTGAAGTCTCAAGTAGATATCCAAGGAGAAGTGTCTCTCAGCTGAGACATACGTGGGCGTCATTAAAGCAAAGGCAAGCAGATGGCCCACGAAACTTCGTCGAAACATGTTACTTTGACCTTTCTAAGAAGTACAGTAGTAATAAGAATTAGACTTTAGAAAAATTCGTTTAAGTATCTGTCTGTAATATTAAAGTAAATTTCGATAATCGATATACACACAAATTTATAATAGCAAATTTAAAATAATTCAAATAAAGATTATCAAGGAAAAGAACATCGGTATAGGGTTTAGAAAAGACAAATTTAGAAACGCAGCTTTGGCGCAGCTCATATATTCGACGCCCTATGCACTCGAGTTACACGGAGCGTCTATAATGCAGCCATGAGGCGCGTGGAAGCCTGTAACTATTGATCCTGCAGCCTTTGGGGAGCCGCTGCTGCTGCCGCTACTGCCGCTGTTGCTGCTGCGGATTTTAGCAACGTCACGGACGCGTGATGTATCGTGGGAATGGAGAGACGCACAACTTCATCGAATAGCATTCATTTATGATTGTACTCACATCCGGGGACCAACGTGTCTTATATGCATCAGTCATGAATACCAAGCCTTTTTCGATGAACAAGACAGGATTAAATTTGCTGTTACCTCATTGGCAATTATTATTTTACGACGGTGAAATCTTCCCGAATCGTCTTTGTCGCGACTGCATTTGAACGAACTCAAGTCTCTAAATCGTTGCGCACTCAACGTTAACTTGAGATCGAGTCCGGATTCGCTGGTCTACGATTCCACGGTACGTATGGAACACGGTGCGGCGGATCAAGAAAGACCAACGAAAAGGTCCCGGACTCGTTTCTTTCGATTCTCTCTTCTCGTCCTCTCTCGTCCCTTAGACGAAGCGAACAAAGCAAAGGGTCCCCGAGCAAGCAGCGTTCTCTCTGACGGACGGGGTCTTCGCCCCACCTTCTCCTCTTTCTCCGTTTGTGCCACCACCATCGGTACCATCACCAACCACCATCGCCACCTTCCTCGAGGTTCTACGAGCACGGCAACCTTCCTCTCCTTGGCGGGTCTTCGCTCTCCTGCCGCGTATCGTATACCTGTGCACAAGTTCACTTGCACGCACGCACGCACGCACGCGCGCGCGCGCCCGGGTATTCTCCGATCTACCGCGTCCACCTGCCTCTACCTCGACGCGGAGTTATTTAGCCGAACCAAAGCCACTCCGGTTCGCCCTAGGCGAATTTCCGGAATAAGGCAGAGAGAACCTTCGAGAAGCGGAAACTCGGCTGGCGAACACGCGGTTAAAGTTGCACGCGAGCAAAATCCTCGAGGATTTTCTACCCGCCTATCTAGAAGTACAAAAATTTCATTTTGAAACTGAAATGCTTTCGAATGAACGCTGAAATAGTTAACGTTGACGTGAAAAATAAACAAAAAATTGTCATTTCCAATTCTAATAAATAAACATATATGATAGATTTGATAGACATTCAATGTATGCACGAATAATACATACACGAGTTTTATCGAATTCTTGTAGCGGCTCGACTGTAATATGCAGCTAAGTGGAATTGTGGCTCTAACAGCATTCACGCCTTCGGGACAATCTTTCACGGCCTCTCTCGTACCCTCTGACGAGTCAGTCAATTTCTTTGCTGTACGCGTGTCGCCAATCGTCCACCGCCACGTTCCGTTCCGTATCGACATTGGAATTACGCGTCGCAGTCGGCCCTGAAGAAACGGAAATACCGTCCGTGACATTGTTGCGCGCATGTCACGCTTATACGCAAAGATATCGCTAGGCCTCGTGCACTCTTCGTCTACCCAGAAAGTAATTCTGAAGAATTTATACGTGGCTTTACTCTCGTCCTCACGCTCCTTTGCCCTGAATCCTGCCCGTTTTTCGCTTTCTTACACATGGCACGCGTTTGAAAATGCAAAATTTAATTGCGATAAAGGAGACAGAGGGTGAGAGAGAAAGAGACAGTAGTATATAGTGAGAGAGAGAGAGAGAAAAAACTGCGTGGTATGCGATGCAACATATGTACGTCGCCTTCTCTCCTTCCATCGTCGAAGGAGAGAGTGAACTGAATGAAAGGGAGGCTCGAGTAGGGGGAGAGTGGAGGATAGAGCGAGATTGAGAAGGATAGAGACGGAGAAAGAGAAACGGAAGGTTCCCAGGATGAGCGCGAGAAGGAAACGACAGAGTGGAGTCAGGAGCGAAGGAAGGGAGGGGGGGAGGAGTGGTTCACCTGCATTGCTAGCATTGCGCTGGCTCAAGGCCAAAGAGTCTGCGAGACCGAGGACCAGACCGGGTCGGGACCTCCTTCCTTCCAGTTTCCTGCACCCTGCTCTCTCTCACCGCGCCGCACCGCGCCGCTTTCTTGCCTACTGCATCGAGTCCTCTCCTTTTCTCTCTTCTCGGTTCTTTCCTTCACGCTGTGCCCCTCTATAATACGCAAACAATTGCATCACGGACGCGCTGCTGCGTTTGAAGGCTTATTACGCGCATGCGGGCAGTTTCGTGCTCCGACACAAAATAAAAGAGAAATAAAAAAAAAACTCGCGTGCCACGAGGGCGCACAGTAGCATAATAATTGTAATCCATTTTCTCTCATTACGCTACAGTACGTAATATTGATATTTTTTCAATTATTATTCATTTATTCAATTATGCTTAAAAATAGAAAAATAGAAAAATAGATAGCTGTAGATATTTAATCATTGAACAGAATCAACATATACTGTTGTATCAGTGCTGAACGGTTTTTTTTTCTTGATTTGATTGCAGGCTGCAAGATCAAGGCCCTCCGAGCAAAGACGAATACCTATATCAAGACACCAGTGCGCGGTGAAGAACCCGTCTTTGTCGTCACCGGTCGCAAGGAGGACGTGGCCCGTGCGAAGCGTGAGATTCTTTCCGCCGCGGAACATTTCTCACAGATTCGCGCGTCGCGCAAAAGCTCCTTGGGAGCTCTTCTGGGTGCGCCACCCGGACCACCCGCGACGGTGCCCGGTCACATAACGATTCAGGTACGAGTGCCCTACAGAGTAGTGGGTCTGGTCGTAGGCCCTAAGGGTGCGACCATCAAACGAATTCAGCATCAGACGCATACCTATATCGTGACGCCTAGTCGCGACAAGGAGCCTGTGTTCGAAGTGACGGGATTACCGGAAAGCGTGGAAGCGGCCAGACGCGAAATACAGGCTCACATTACCCTGCGAACCGGCACTGCACCCGGCGTTGTCGATGATACTGATCTGCTGGGCGTACTCTGCCGCGGCGGTCTCGGCTCTGTTCTCGGTATTCAAAGTATGGACCAACCGGGATCGAACAGCTCCAGCAGTTCTAATGGAGCGTTTTCGAGCAGTGCCAGCTGCAGCAGCTCGTCCAGCAGCACCGGTGGAATAGGGATGAACGACCTCGTCGCTATTTGGAACGGGATAGAGAGGGACGAAGGAATTGGCGAGTCGCCGTCATTCGAATCGCAGCCGACCTCGACATCGTCAATCTGGTCGTTCCCGAGCGTCGCGCTACCCTCGAGGCCGTCGCCGCCGGCGACGGCGAGCCCGGCGTCGCCCACGGATTCGCTTTTGGGCGGCGCACGACGGGACTGCGTCGTTTGCGGCGAGAAGGAAGTCACCGCGGCGTTGGTACCCTGCGGACACAATCTCTTCTGCATGGACTGCGGTAATCGGGTCTGCGAAAATCAGGATCCAAGCTGCCCGGTATGCTCCAGACCAG